TGTTTCTACATATATCTTATGATTTTTTTTGTTGAAACCTGGACATTTTAGATAATATCTTGTAGAAACTCTGTTCTGACCTCCCTGGGGAATTGTTGCATTTTTGTGTATTTGTTTGTTAACTGACTTGCCTGGAGTAGTTCTGTGGAGTCTGTGTTCTCAGTAGTATGTAACCACTAATGTCTCCCCTCAGATTTCATTTTTATTTCTTGTTTTTATTTGTAACTGTGACTTCTTAGGCATTGTGCTTGGGTCACCATAGCCTAGAGCCTCCCAACTGTAGTCTACTTTGCCCCGCAGAGGACATTTGACATTGTCTGGAGACATTTTTGTTTGTCACAACTAGAGTCGAAGTTGCTGCTGACATCTGATGAGTACATACCAGGGACAATGCACAAGACAGCATTCTATGACAAAAAAATTATCTAGTCTCTTTGTCCATAGTGCCTGGTTGAGAATCCCTGGTATAGTTTAGTGGCCAGCCAACTATTGGTCAGAGGTTATGCTTACAAACCTTAAGTCAGTAAGGCTTCCACCCTTTGCCAATAGATCTGTGTGTGGCTTGAGGTACACATTCAAAGAATGTTTACAAGTTTTTCCTGGTTTTTATTTTCTGTCATTCTCATGTCTCCTTTGTGCCTGCTCAAAACCTCATTTTCTTCCAGGGTTGTATAAATAGCTATGGCCATTTCCAGTCACTTTTCAGTGTGTACAAAGCCCTGCATGTGTGCACACCCTTCCAAACACTAGAGATGTATAAAATCTGAGGAGAGATATCTGTGGCTGCACACTGCAGGGGACACAGATGCCACAGAATTACTCTAGATAAGTCAGTAAGCAAACAAATCCACAAAAATGCAACAAACCCCCTGAGGAGATCAGAGATGTGTCCCATTCCCTGTATCCCCTTGTTAGAGTTCTATCTGTTCTTTTGGTATGTTGTCTGCCCCAGCCAGTATGCCTTCCCTGGTTGTTTTCAACAGCACCCGGGGTATGGAGTATTTATGCATGCTCTGCTCCAAATCAAATTTAGTCACTTTTTGCAGCAAAACTAATGGTTTCCTTGGTTTGCCCACCCTCGTGGAACTACCGCTGATTGGAGCTGGGAATGGGGGTAAGGAGTTGGAGCACCCCAGGATAAAACACGCCACAGATTCCCACTGTTCTTACTCAAGGTTCAGTAATTTTCCATGAATAAATGCTTTTTAAAAATAAATTGTATTGTGTTTGTTTAAAGTATATAATGTGATATTATGAGATACATGTAGATAAGAAAATGGTTACTATAGTGAAGCAAGTTAACATATACATCATCTTATAGTTACTCATTTTTTGTGGCAAGAGCAGCTACAATCTACTCATTTAGCAAAAATCCCAGATATAATACACTATTATTAAACTGTAGACTTCATGTTGTATGTTAAACCTCTAGACCTGTTCATTCTACATATCTGCTGCTTTGTATCCTTTGTTCTACATCTCCCATTTCCTCCTCCCTCCCCCCAATTCCTGCCCCAGTTTTATTATCTTTGTATATTTGACTTCTTTTTTTTTTTTTTTAGATTCCACAGCTAAGTGAAGTTATGCAATTTTTTTCCTATTCCTAGCTTATTTCACTTTGCATAATGTCCTCCTGGTTCAACCATAATTGTGGCAAATGGCAGGATTACTTCCTTTTTTTAAAAGCTAAATAATATTCCATTGTGTATATAAGTATACCACAGTTTATTTATACATTCACCTATCAACAGACACTTAGATTGTTTGCCTATCTTAACTTTTGTGAATACTGTTGTAGTGAACATGGGAGTGCAGATATCTTTTTGGTTGTAATTTTATTATTTTCGGTATATACCTAACAGACAAAAGAATGAAATTGAAACCTTATCTTACATTATATACAAAAATCAACTCAGCATGAATAAAAGACTTGAGCAAGAATAAGACCTGAAACCATAAAACTCCTAAAAGAAAATATAGGGGGAAAGCTCCTTGGCAATGTTTTTTGTTTTTTTGTTTTTTGTTTTTTAATCACACCAAAAGCTTAGGCTACAAAAGCAAAAATAAATATTTGGGACTACATCAAACTAAATAACTTTTTCACAGCAAAGCAAACAATTAGCAAAATGAAAAGACAGCCTATGGATTAAGAAAAAATGTTTACAAGCCATCATATGTGGTAGGGGGTTAATATAAAAAATTTATAAAGAATTTATGCAACTCAATAGCAACAAAACATATGACCTGATTAAAAAGTGGTGCAATAGATCTGAATAAACATTTCTCCAAAGAAGACATGCAAATGGTCAGTAGTCAGGAGCATGCCACTGCACTCCAGCCTGGGTGATGGAGTGAGATTCCAACTCAAAAAAAAAAAACCGTCAAAGCCCAATGTTGCACAAAAATAGTAAATAATCTGGCAAGAACTCTCAGAATCAACTGTGTAGAAACTAATCAAAGCTTTAAAGCAACAAGGAACATGCTTAATCAAGGAAAAACACATGGCCAAAAGGTATATTAAAAAGCGCTCAGCATCACTAATAATCAGGGATATGCAAATCAAAACGACTATGAAATACCATCTAATACCCATTGGGAAACCTACTATAAAAAGGACAAGAGATGCCAAGTGTTGGCAAGGGTGTGGAGAAAAGGGAACTTTTATACACTGTTGGTCAGAATGCAGACTGGTTTAGCCATTATGGGAAACAGTATGGAGGCTCCTAAAAAAATTAAAAATAGAGTAATTGCTCCTTAATTTGCTGTATGCCTTTGGACAATTTCTAGGGTCCTAAAATGGTTGTTTTTGAATTTTTTTTCAGTTTTATTATTGCTTTTGGGGTAGAGAATTTTCAAAGCTACTCACTATGTCTTTTTAGAAGTCTCACCTCCAGATTCCCAAGGCTACACTTTGAGAAACATTAGTGTAGTAACCTGTTCATGTAACATCTCTGAGCCTTAAGGGTTTTTTGTTCTTAAAATGAGAATGATAATATCAATGAAAGTCAATGTGAGAAGTACAGATATAGCATTTTTTTAAAACTGTTGCTTAATATCTTACAACGTGGATAAACCACCAGTTTATCCAGCTGTTCCTCCACTTCTCCCACTGATAGACATTTAGTCTTGTTTCCTTTTTTGCTATTATAAATGACACTTTCTATAAGATAAATACTGAGAGGGTAATTTATGGGTCAAGCAATAAATATGCACATTTTTATTATTTTCTTTGAAACTTCCAGATTACCATCTAGTGTGACTTTAACAATTTATACCCTTACTACCAATGTTTGCAAGTATGCATTTTCCTACATCCTTGAAAACACAAATTTTATTTCATTTTTAAAAATTTTTTAATTTTAAAGATGTGGGACACAATTCAGGGTTAGGTATGCAAATGTTGATTATGTAGGTACCCTTGTTGATGGGGCATACCCCTCCCTCCCCTAGCAGTTTCCCTCAACTGCCCATCCCTTTCTTATAGTATTATGATTTTTCTTTGGGGTTTTTATCTTTAATTACAGGGATTTATTCTATATAATGGGTATTAATCCTTTTATATTACAAATATTTTCTTGTTACTTGCCTTTTAACTTTGTTTTTACATTGTTTGCAAAACGAAGTTTTTATTTTCATATAGACAAATTTATCTTTATGACATTTGTGTCATAGTAAAACAGCCTTTTCTAGCTCAAGGTTGTCAACATATAATTTTTAATATTTTAATCTATCAGAAACTTTTCTTAATGATATGAATCCAGAATTTTTTTCTTTGATTATGTATATTTAATCTCATTTTATTTACCTTTTCTAAATGAGTAACCTCGTATATAGAAAGTCCGTGATTTTTTTTGTAATTTTTTATTTTAGTATAACTTCAAACTAATAGAAAAGTTGCTAGAATAGTACAAGGACCTCCTGTACATCCTCTACCCACCCATGTTTCCTTTTTTTGATACTTGAATTATTTACTGTTCTAAATTTAGGACTCTTACATATTTTGCGTTTATCTTGGTGACCTGGTGACAGCGTGACATATGGACACGTATTTTTCTTTTACCAAATAGCTATCTAGTTGTCCCAACACCATTTATAAAAGATCTAAAACTTGACCTTCCATATGACCCAGCAGTCCCCCTTTGGGATTGCTCAAATCACTCTATGAAAAAGATACCTGCACACGCATGTTTACTGCAGCATTATTCACAGTAGCAAAAACATGGAACCGACCATGCTGCCCATCAAAAGTGGACTGGATAAAAAAAACGCAGTACATATACATGATGGAATATTACACAGTCTTAAAGAAGGACAAAATTATGAACTTTGCAACAATTGTGTGGACTTAGAATCTGTAATACTGTAATACTGAATGATCTATCACAGAAACAAAGATATTGAGTGATCTACCACATGTTCTCACTCATAACGGACCCTGAACATTTATCATAACACTATAAGAAAGGGTTTGGCAGTAGTGGGACACCGCTGGGAAGTGAAGCACATAACATCAATAAGAGTACCTGATCTCAAAACAGGCGAAGTGGGGACCAACGGAAGGCTCAAACTTTACCTGCATGATGACCATGTATGTACCTAACCCTGAATTGTACCCTACATCTTTAAAATTAAAATTTTAAAAAGTCACATGCTCTACTGAGCTAGCCAGGCACTGGCACAACACCATTTATTTAAAAAGTCATCTTTTCCTCAGTGATTTTTGCCATCACTTTATTACATACCAAATTTTCATATGCATTTGAGCACATATGGGCTTTTTATACTCTTTCATTGTTTTATCTCTCTACTGTACCAACATCATGTCATTTTAGTTATAGAAGTTCTACGGTATGTTTTAATATCTGGAAAGAAAAAGCCCCCCTTGTCCCCCATTGTTCTTGTTTTTTGGTAGAAGACTTTTAGAAGGAATTTATCTGGCTACTGATTTGTTTTAAGTTTCCCTAAATAAATATTTCTGATGAGTGTGATGTTTTTCCTAGAACTGCAATATGCTAACACTGTGATGCGCTTTGATTATGTCTGGCTTCGAGACCACTGCCGCTCAGCATCTTGCTACAACTCTAAGACTCACCAGCGCAGCCTGGACACTGCCAGTGTAGACCTGTGTATCAAGCCAAAGACCATTCATCTGGATGAGACCACACTCTTTTTTACTTGTGAGTAGACAGGAGACTTGGTCTTCTTTGGTGGTACTCTTCTAAAGAACAATTATGTTGTGAAAAATGATGTGTCCCTTTCCAAAATGGGGTATTCTTTTAGTTACTTTTCTTTTTTCCTTGCTTTAGAAGCATTTTGGGGGAAGCTTTTATTTTTCTCTTCAAATAGTATTGTTATAATTCACAACTAACATTACACTTAATGGAGAAACTGAACGCTTTCACTCTAAGATAGGGAACATGGCAAGGATGTCCACTCTCTCCACTCTTATATAACATAGTACTGAAAGTTCTAGTTATTACCTTAAGGCAAGAAAAATAAAATGCATACATATTAGAAAGGAAAAAATAAAACTCTTTATTTACAGATACATGACTATCTAACATACACCACCTCAAGTAATCCACAATAAAACTGCTAGAACTAATAAATGAGTTAAGTAAGGTCATAGGATGCAAGATAATTTACAGGATCTATATGATAAAATTATAAAATGCTGATGAAATTAAAGAAGAGACAAACTTGGAGAAGCAAACCATGTTCATGGATTGAAAGACTCAGCATAGTAATGATGTCAATTTTGTCCAAATTAATCTATAGTTTTAATTCAATTCCTGTCAAAATTGCAGCAAGGTTTTTTTAATGATTATAAACAAGCTTGTTCTAAAATTTAAATGGAAATGCATAGACCCTAAAATAGCCAACAAGATTTTGAGGGAAAAAAAATAGAATGAAATGGAAAAAATCACTTCCTGATGTTAAGACTGCAGTAATCAAGACAGTGTGGTATTAGTGGAGTAGAGAATCCAAAAACAGACCCATAGAAATATAGTCAAATGATCTTTAGCAAAAGTGCAAAAGACATTCAGTGGAGAAAGGGTAGCTTTTTTAACAATCCATGCTGGAGCAATTGGACATTCATAGGAAAAATATAAAAGAATTGCAACCCAAGTCTTACACCTTATACAAAAATCTACTCAAGATAACTGTGAACTTAAATGTAAAACTATAACACTTCTGGAAAAGAAAATAGGAGATCTTCATCCCCTAACTGAGGCTAGGACTAAATAACTTTCCAAACCCGACATTAAAAAATAAACAATCTGATTTAAAATAGAGAAAAGACATGCACAGACATTTTACTGAATAGGATATACAGATGACAAACACATGAAACAGTGTTCAGCATTGTTAGTCATTAGAGAAGTGAAAGTTAATATCGCAATGAGATTTCTCTACATACCTATCAGAATGACTAAAATAAAAAATAGTGACAACACCAAATGCTAAAGAAGATGTAGAGATCTATCAATCATACTTTACATTTGGAAAACAGTTTGGCAGTGTCTTAAAAACAATGCAACTACCATACAACCCAGAAGTCATACTCACGCATTTATCTCCCCAAAATTAAAACTTGTGTTCACATAAAAATACACTGTACACTAATGCTCATATCATTCTTATTTGTAATAGCCAAGAACTGGAAACTATACAATGGTTGAATGGTTAAATAAACCATCCAAATAATGGAATACTACTTAGCAATAAAGAGGAATGAACTAAATGATAGACAGAATAACTTGGAATAACCTCAATGAAATAATGCTGAAGCAAAAAAGCTAATCTGCATGATTCCATTTATGTAACACTCATAAAATAGCATAATTATGTAGGTAGATAACAGATTATCAGTTGCCAGGAGTTAGGGATGGAGGTTAGGAGGTGGTAGGTATAGCTATAAAGGGATAACACAAAGGAGACTTGTGGTGATGGTACAGCTGAGTATCTTGTTTGTGATAGTGGTGATTACACAAAGTTACACATGCAATACTGCATAGAGCTGCATATATTTACACACAAAAATGAATATATGTTTAACTGGTTAAATGTGAATATGCTCTGTGGATTGTACCAATGCCACTTTCTTGGTTTTGATATTGTACTGTTGTTTTTGTTTGTTTTTATTTTTTAATTTTTAATTTTAAAATTGTGGGGTACAGTTAAGGGTTAGGTTTACAAATATGCATCGTTCAGGCACCCTTGTTGATAAAGGCACCCATGTTGATCCCCATTCAGGCACCCTTGTTGATCCCCGTCCCCAGACAGATATTCACTACTGTTAGTCCCACCTCCCTTCCCCTCCCTACCCCCCCAATAGTTTCCCACCACTGTCAGTCCTTTTTTTATAGTATTACAATGGATGTTCAAGGTCTGCTATATGAGTGAGAACATGTGATACTCAGATCTTTGTTTCTGTGACAGGTCACTCAGTATTATAGACTCTAGTTCCATCCAGGTTGCTGCAAAATTCATGATTTTGTTCTTTTTTATGGCTGCGTAGTATTCCATCGTGTATATGTGCCACATTTTTTTAATCAATTTCTCTTTTGATAGACAGCATGGTTGATTCTAGGTTCTTGCTATTGTGAACAATGCTGCGATAAACATACGTGTGCAGGAATCTTTTTCATAGAGTGATTTGAGTTCTTCAGGGTATATTCCCAGTAGGGGGATTGCGGGGTCATATGGAAGGTCGATATTTAGAGCTTTTAGGAATCACCACACTTGTACATTTCTTTGAAACACCCTGTGAATCTATATTTTCCAAATAAAAATTTAAGAGAAAAAAAGCATTGGAGGAAAAAATGCTTACAATCAACACATTGACTACTAATTTATCTACAATAGAAAAAAATTCCAGAGAAAGTTTTATTTTTTAAAAACCAGCCAACTTGGCAAAATATATGACAAAGACTAAATACCCTTGACATATATGGTGCTATTGTCAAACTGTAAAAAAGGACAAATATTTCAATTAAAAATGTGAGAAATAAGTGAACAAACAAATCATTAAAGCAGAAATCAGCAAATATTTTCTGTAAAGGACCAGGTGGTAAATATTGTTAGGCTTTGTGGGCTGTATGGTCTCTGTCACAACTATTCAACTCTTCAGTTGTAGAGTATACCATCTATAGACAATATGCAACCAAATGGATGTGCACTTGTTCCAAAACAGTTTTGGCACATGGACCAAAGTTTGGTGACCCTTGCATTAAAGAAATATAGATGTCTGACAGATAGTTTGAAAGTTCTTATTAGCCTTATTAGTAAGCAAATAAAATTATTATGAGATAGCAGTTTTACTTCAGTAGATAGCAAGAATGTGGAATATATATACCATGGAATACTACGCAACCGTAAAAAGAATGAAATCATGTTCTCTGCAGCAACATGGATGGAGCTGGAGATCGTCATCCTAAGTAAACTGATTCAGAAACAGAAAACACACACAACATGTGGGAACCAAACGGTCACAAACATGGAAATAATAGACACTGGGGACACCAATAAGGGCAGAGGAGGAGGGGTGGTTAGGGTTCAGAAACTACCTACAGAGGACAATGTTCACTGAAACCCAATCCCCAACGCTACACAATATGTCCAAGTAAGGAATATGCTTGTGTATCCCCTGAATCTAAAATTTTTTTTAAAGCCTTGATATACATTCTATTTTAAGAAAATTAGCAAAAATGTGGATAGAGACGATCACTATTAAATAATAGGACATTTTTCAAAAGTAAACCTACACACCCCAGAAGAACAGATTAGCTAGGTAATCTTTGTACTCTGTATTTTACAAACTTAAGAATTAACTTTTATGAAGATTCAATATTTTAAATAATAAAAAGTGATTGTTAAAATGTTGAGTACAGTGATAGAGTACAAATATATAGGTTTGCATATATATGTATATATATATTATATATTACATATTATATAAAGTCAAATAATACGTAGAAAAAAAGTGTAAAGAATGATGCCCAGCTGTCAATCATGGTTTCATCTGGGTGGTAGAATGATAAGTACAAGTGATTTTTAATTTCCTCATATATTTTTATGCTTTCCAAATTGTTTTTTCATTTGTTTTGCTTCATTTTTTTCATTTGATAAAGATTTATTGGAGGCCAAGCTTGAGGATCAACCCAGAAAGACACACCAAAAAAGTTGAATGTATGCCAAAGTCTGTTTGGAATACCTTTTTTTTTTTTTAATTTTTGAGTAGAGGACTCAATCTATCACCCAGGCTGGAGAGCAATGGCATGATCACAGCTCATTACAGCCTCGACCTCCTTGGCTCAGACAATCCTCCTGCCTCAGCCTCCCGAGTAGCAGGGACTACAGGGACACACCACCATGCCTGGCTAATTTTTTATTGATTTTTTTTTGTAGATACGAGAACTCACTATGTTGCCCAGGCTGGTCTAGAACTCCTGGGCTCAAGCAGTCCTCCCACCTAGGCCTCCCAAAGTACTGGGATTACAGGTATGAGCCACCATGCCCAGCCTGGAATACTTTATAAGTAAGAAGGGAGGAGGACTCCTCATATCAGAGTTGTCTTTTTCATTGGAAGGTACAACACAGAGGTTGCAACACCAGCTACAGATGACAACATACAGGCTAAATGTTCTGTGTGGAAGAAAATCAGCAAAACTTCATGATTCAGAAACAAATCAGTGTCCTTTTCAATGTCAGTAGGATATATATCAATCAGTAGTACATCAACAGTTTGAAGAACTCATGATAAGAGTCTTTACTAAAGGACAGGAAGTGAGCCATCAATCAGAAGACCTCCTCCAAGTTTGTTAATTTGGAAGCCTGCCAAATGTGACCTGTAGGTTATCACTTTTTTTCCTAGTTGGGGGCCTAATGCTTAAATGTCCAGCTAGTGACCAAGTTTTTCTCTTAGAGGAAACTTGTTTATGCTGGTAGATGCCTTGTGGCTCTTGTCTAATCAGTTTCCATTTTATTTCTACCAAGGTAGCCACTGCCAAGATAATCCTACCAAGAAAGCCGTGACCTGGATAGAAATTAGGTTCAGGTGTGTCAGTCAGATGAGACACAAAGGAGGCAACTGAACAACACAAAAGAACAGAAACAGTGTATTACATGAAGATCCCAGAGAGGAAAGGATAGCATGGTTTGAATTCCAAGTGGT